ATATTAGAATCAGTTGTGTAATAGTATGTAGTCATGAACTAAGCTATCCGTCGGATGCCGCTATTCGTGCGATGGATGGTATGACATCTTTTATTGTTAGGCGCCCGCCCCTCCACCTTATCAACAACCCGCGCCCTATGGGTATCAGGCCCAACAGGGCTATACTGCGGGCGGAGCAGTTCCTATGGCAGCAGGACCATATGGTGGTCAGCAGTACCAGCAGCAGATGTACGGGAATCAGCCAGTCGGTGCTCCTATGGTAGGATAATGTTCTTGTGATGTTTGTTGTGTATGCGTTGGTTTATAGTATCACGACCACGACAAGAAAAAGAAGAAGAAGGATAAAAAGCATAAGAAGGATAAGAAGCATAAGAGGAGCGGTTATAGTAGTAGCAGCAGTAGCAGTAGCAGTGACTGAGTAGATTTGTTCCAAGAAGAGTGGTATCAGCTTTTAATTTGAGACGATGAAAATGGCTGCTACATATCTACACTAAGAATCAATCACAATTTTTTATACAAGCGTGTTGTGCTTTGTATCATTCGCGATGTTTCGTTTTAGTATGCACGAAATAGGCGGGGGCTCTGGATAGTGGGAATATGATCATTCGATGCGGCCTGCATCGTAGGTAATGTAGTGAAATTTATATGGTTTTTCGGTTGGAGCGCCAGGAGTGGGGTTTAAATTTCCCGGAGGATTGCCAAATGATGGAGTTATGGTTTCGCTCGCCCTGGTGGTGAGTTTGGGACAGTCGAAGGATGTATTCAGAATAAGATGAGGAGGTGTGGTAAGGGGCATAAGACCGTTGGGGATGGGTCACTGATCACCTCCAGCTATTGGTTACTCGTATCCTTCGCTCAATTATGACCATACACTTTGTTGCATTACTCCCAAGGCTTGCTTCAGTGTTTTATTAAGGAAATATTGTCGCTCTCAGCGAGGGTGAAATCGTTGGTATCCACACCTGGAATTTAATAGGGATGGGAAGTCGCTGGAAGTAACCCTTTTTATGAGGCCCTTTATGAGGCCCACCTTTTCATGGACTGACAGTATGGGTCCTCTCACGTAACCTCTGGTCGATATCGACTGTTACTAACCTATGGAATTTCAACTGAATTCTATTGAGTGTCTCGATCTAACACGCTTCTGGTGCTATTACTACTCGGTTTTCTGGGTGGGGACTACTCGCAATACAATTATTTTTGGACCTGCATTCCTCTGAAGAGTCAAAGGCCTGCAGTATTTGAGTACCCCATATGGAGCCCTTGGCAGACCCACTGCATGACCGCAGAGTTCGTACCGTAACTCCGCCACCTCGTGCGGTAGGTGGAGGGAACTAACACGGCTCGGCAGGCTTGTGATGTTTTTACTCAGCCGTTAACGCCGGAATTGCTCTTCCCCAATGGTGAAGCATCGCCACCGGACTGGCAGTGTCTCAGAAGCATCTGGTGAGGCCA